AAACGACTTTTTGCTGATGAGGTTGAACCGACTCCTCGCACACTTGAATATTCAACGCACCCGGACGCTCGTCAGCATCAATACAACCTGGCAATTAATATTGATTTTATGAAAGCCCCCGTCTAGAGATTTCTTTTTTCTTTTATCTTTGATCATTGCGACCGGGTATAGACCTCTGCACTCCATCGAGAAGAATTCACTCGGGGAAAAAAAATCATTCCTGCCGAGCAAAACAAGCAAATTTTCTGAATCCACCGAGTAATTACTGTTATTACCATGTAATTACTTTGAAATTAAATTATTTCCTTCATTTTTCCTCGGGTTACACTGAAGATGACTTTATGTATCATTCATGACAGGGAAATAACGAATATTCGCGTCACAAATTATTTTTTTAAATTAACAATTTTTATTTTATTATATTTATATTTATTATTATATTATTAGTATTATATTCTCAGGATTTCCGCGTTGTTCAACATTTCCTCATCATCTACGGAAGAAGAATGAATTAAATTAACCACTAATTAACGAAACCATCCACTGTATTATTATTATTACTATTGTTGTTGTTTTTAAAAACTATAATCTCCGAAATCTCGAATTCTGTGCGATAGAAATTTCCCGGGATTTTTTTGCGGATAATTTCCTCAAAAATTCCGTATCCGGAATGAGCATTTATCACCACATGTTTTATCATGCAAAAAAAAAAAAACAGAAAAAGGGATGGAACAAATTGGAGCTGGCAGTAATTTTGAAAAACTATGAGGGGAAGAGATGGGATAAAGGGGCAAAAAATAATAAAAAAAGGAAAAGGGAAACAAAGGAGACGGGAGAAAGCAGATGCAGCGGACGCGACGGGACGCCAGGCGCCCTGGGAGAGTGAAGACGTTGGAGTAATTGGCCCCGTGCTCTCAGTTTCGATTTCGACTCTCGGTATTTCACATGACTGAAGAAGAGGACGTGAAACCGAGGGGCCCAAGCAAAGCCCAAAACAAGAAGTGGTAAGGGAGAAATAAAACTGAACGCTCTTTGGAATTGCGCGAGAAGCCAAACCCACAAGAGACCTCCTGATCTTTTCGCCTTGGCTTCTCCTTTCATTTGCGTTCAACAACCATTTTGGGGATCCACAGGACCATCTCTGTCTGGTTCACCATTCTCTCGTACCTGGTACTCACTTGTATGGCGGCAAAAGGGCTACTGATTACAGACTCTACTGTTGGAAGCACGTCCAGGTCCAGTCTCTTTTACCACATCCCAAAAAGACGCCGTCTTAATAAGACCAATTCAGATATACCGTTTTATTCTGTTATTTTAACACTCGGGTTTTGTTGAAAAAAGATGGAACTCCAGTGAGAATAATATGCCTGTGGAGACCCGGTTCAAGTCGTCATTGAATAGTTCAAGATGTAAATCTTTTCCCATCACTTTTGCTATTTTTTTTTTGCAAATTTTAACCGCAAAATTGATCAGATTTAAATTGCGAATATCACAGCAACATTTATTATTTATTTTTCTTCGTTCTGAATAGATCGGAATTTATCTATATCAATTATCAATTTATTCATTAATTAATTACTGATTGACTTGGATATGACAGTCTATTATTATTTTTAATATCAATTTTATTTTACGGAAAACAATTAATGTTTCCATGAACGTAAGAATTAGAAGAGAATTCACTCTTATAAGTCCTTCAAAAATAATTGGCGAAATGGAAGTCTAAAAATATATAAATACCGAGTATATATCGAGTATATATCGATAAACAATATGCAATAGATTTTCACAAAACAATTAACTTGTGAGTGTTTTCACTTAATTTTTCCCACCCATCACATCTCCCGCGTTTCATTACGCCATCTCATTAGCAACTTCATTAAAATCCCTTATAACTTAACAATGAGTAATTGGAGATGTAAATAACTTAATTACACAGGTGACGGAGCAATCGAAGCGCGAATGGCATGATGTGAATTAAACCGTAAGGTGTATAATTCCTTATACAAATAATCTGTAATTAAAGTTACTACCTGCTAATTGCGCTGAATCGGCAGGGTGAATAGAAATGTCACAATAAACTGCTGGCATTTGCTCATTATTCAGAGGAAACGGTTCATTGAATACATTACATAAACCTGATATCATTTGAGCTCCACTTGAATTTATGTAGGTACCCGAGACTTTTACTTACGATGAGGAAGAAATACCCGCCGATAGTAATAACGAATTAACTGAGAAAGACACTCGTGTGAGCCTCTAATAAAATACAGGTGACTCGATAATAAAATGCATTCTCCAACACTTACTCTTGCCTCATTGTTTTTTTATTCACTTATTTACCTCTTATCCTATTTTATGCTCTTTAACTTTACCTCGGCCTTTCAATTCATCACTCGTGGCACTTTGCCGAACGCAATTTGATAAATAAAGATTATTCAAAGTTGTTCAAAGATACAACAAGAATTTTCATTAGAATCTAAATTAATTGGACTTAGCAGAGAAATTAAATCAGAGGAAATTTTTACAACAAAGTTAATTGAATTTCCTATTTTTCCCTACATTTTTTTTCATAACTTTCGATCACTTTATTAGTAATAACAGAATAATTAATAATTAATTCAATGATCAGGTATTTTAGTGATTTTGCGCGGTCGACAGAAATTTGGAATTTCTGAATAAATAGAACCGACTAATGAAGTTTAAAAAATAATAAATAATGACGTTTTCCCTCATTCTCGCAAATTCTATTTCAAGTTGAAATAAATGAAAAAAAAATAATCGTAAAGTTTGTGATGCTTGGATACCAGATGCGCCGACTCAAGTACTTGGGGTCTGTTCTATAATTTTATAGCATTCACTTTTATCCGGCCCCTAATTAATGGCCCATAAATAACTTGCGACGAGTCGTTAATGGCATGTACACACTCTCAGGACGATCTGCGCGTGCGCTCAAGTACGCGCAGTTTTCTTACCTCTTTCTTCTTCATTTTTTACCTTTTCTCCATTCTTTTCATTCACTTTTTATTTTTTATATGCATCCGCGGCATTGTAAGACCATGGATGTTCGAGCGCAGAATACGTGTGTGCGATACAATCTTTTTGTATGATCTGACTTTACCGCTCTTGAGGCCCTTGTCTTTTTTTTCCATCAAGGGTTTAAAAAATTGTTGTTTTTTTGTCGTTCCAGGGAGAAATTGTGGAATTCACCGTAGACCAAGTTTATCCTGCATTATTTTTTACTAGGAGTGTTTACCCATAACTAATAAATTATAAATTCAAGAATTTCACCCGTCTACGTGATGAATTTCTCTATTACCCCATTATATTAAACATAAACGCAGGAAATATTCTATTAAAATTCCTTGAACGTCATAAATTAATTCACTAAGAAAATTGCAAATAGTAACGGTGCAATTAGCGACAACATTTTAAAGAGATAATTTTGGTGGAGTCAGATTCAATGATTTGATGAGATAAGTTTTTGAATTATAAGTCCAATTTCTAACGCGTATAGCTCCGCTAATTGCCAGGAGAGAAATAAATTAGCGCTCGGCGTTAGGAAGTTTGGCGTGATGAAGGAATTGAAGTGGTAGATTAATTAACTCTAATTAAAATATCAAACATCCCCAAAGAGAGAATTTCGAACTGAATCCCATGAATAAATTCAAACCTTCAGGCTTATTGCAAATTTAAATAATCCGAACTGACTTATAGATTATTTTATTTCAACCCTCTGCGTACCAATGACCAGAAAATCTCTTCTACAACGAAATATATTTAATTCTATAAATGGAAAATATGTAGGAGATTCTCCAATTTTTTTTCCATAGTCGTAGATTCTCACAGATTATTTAATTTCTTACTGAAAACATTAAATTTTATGTACACATTATGCAACAATTAAAATATTATGGTGTGGGCACTGTCAAAATACGATTTTATTCTATTTTATTCTATATAAATGATTATATACTCCATATGCAAAGAGCAGTACAATGTAGCGAAAACATTGTCAACCACGCACGTTCATACATCCACATATTGTACATTTTTTCACACTGTAGTTTTTTTTTCTCTTCTGATTCACTTAAATTAAACACAATTCATCGTAACGTCATCATGATGGAATTTTTATGAGGGAATTCACATGTAAATAAAGTTGAATCTGAAACAAATCCAATAAATTCAATTAAATCCCAGCAATTAATATTTATAATAATATTTTTTCCATTCAATTTGAGACTATTCATGCTCACCGGCACAGGGACTGCGGCAATGACGAAATTATCGGTCCATATCCTTGAGAATAGTCATATAATTCAAAGAGTGGAGCAGCTACTAGTTTATAATTCTTGGGGACAGCGAAAAAGGCTGCAATAAAAAATAATTATCAATATTTTCAAATTTAAAATTGGTACGTATCATTTTCAATTGATAATTACCTTTTTCCTGTAGTTGTACTAGAAATAATCTCTTGTGCTCTTTCGGTTTTGTGACGTGAGGTGGCACGTATGGATATTGCGGGGGTTCAAAATTCGGTCTCCACCAGTTGCCAATCGTGTCTTCTATGAGCCACTCTTGTTTTACTCCGTCCTGACGACCCAAGGCTTCAGTCAAAAGTCGTTTTAAGCCCTCCACCTCGTCCTCACCAGCGTTCAGCTCACCTCCAGGTCTGTGGGAGCAAACGGCATAATTTTAACAGAATTATTTAATCAAAACCCTCGATAGAGTTAAATGAGTTGTTTTCCTGAGTTGAGGAAGTGGCTAGAGTGGAGAGGATACTTACAATTTGAAAAACGTCGTACCCAGTTGGAGTAACAGAACGTGGGGTAATCCGTGCTCGTGAACGAGAAGTACACCCTCTACACTTCGACGCATACCAATTTTATCGAATTCATCTCTCATACGTTGAAATCTAGCTGGAACAGAGGGATCTTTCTCGAACAAGGGTTCCTTCGTTCCAAAGGTGTAATTCTTTAATGGATATCTAGAATTAAAAAATTCTAATTAATATACATCATAGTCCAATTAACAAAAAATTCTAATACAAGGATTATTCTTCCCCGCTCATTTCTCAAACGATTATCTCAATGCTCATTACATGAGGATTAAAATATTTTGAAAGAAGAGATATTCCTTGAGCCAGTAATTATTTGAAAATTTAATCATTCCAGTTTGTTTGCGAGGCATTTTTTAATTATCATGATGTTACGTGCAAAATGTTCACTTTCACGTTTAAATAATAAATCCAACACACAGGAATTTATTAATCACATGATTCAGTGGAATTAACGCAAAATTAATGTTTCCATTGGAAAAGTAACGAGTGTAGCAATTTTTACAAAGAAGAACTAACAATAAATTGTATTGCCTCATTTTTTTTAAGTCTTTAGCTCTAAGTTTGAATGTAAGCATCTCCCACATATTGAATAGTCAAACCATAACAAAATGTGTTTTCACTGCTTGTAAACAGAAAAAATTATCTGAAATGCTCAAATTGGGCTCAATGACATATATTTTAATATCGTTAAGTCCTGTCACGTTCTAGTGTAAACTCCAAAAACCCGACAGAAAGATCTAAATTTTTATCACTTTCGGAGTACACACAAATAGAAGCTCCCGGAAATAAACAGCTTCCAGGCGAATTGAGTCGTCCTTAATATTATTTTTAATAGTGAAGCGGATAAGAAAATATTCCATGAATATTTACTCACAGATGATCCCCAAATAATGAAGAGATGGATTACTTACAAATTCACTGTTCTATTGATGGTGACTGATGGATTGACTACTGGTTTGCCTTCGAATGAGCTATTACTTGCTCGTCTCGGCCAGCCACTGCCCTTAACCTGAGTTGTTGTCATCGCCATTCTCTGTGGTATTATTATATCAATAAAATGGATAAAAATAATTGAACAAGTTCACCAATTTGATAAATAGACTCCAGATATTGGAGATAATTACACCGATGCACCAAAAGCGTCTGCCTCGAAGCAAAACCTCAAGAGTGGAGACCTAAATAGAGAAATCTCTGACCTAGAGGCCAAACGGGCCAAACATATTATCAATAAATTGACAGTGGCGCCAGCTGTCAACTGTCAAACTAAAATCGCCAAGACTTCTGTACCGACGTGACACGGTGACGAGTAATTCTAGATTGTGTCGTTGCTATAAGTCTCTCTACAACAATTACTCCAAAGATTTTCACCGATAATCGACAAGTGTCTTTTAACAAATCCAAATAGAAATAGAAATTGTTTATAAATTGGAAACAAATTGATCCTGCAGCAATAGCCGTGTGAAATTATCTCCGAGTGAGGAAGAAAATGATAAAATAAGAAAATTGATTTGTCAGGGCCAATCCCCATGAGGACAGGCAGATAAATTCATTCTCTCGTTGTTGACGAACTGGAGCGTTAAAAATACGTTTTTTTTTTAAACAAAATTTTCTCTGGATATTATCGTGATTTATTGAATGGAGGATTAGAATGGTTGAGTGCTATTAGTTGTGTTCCATTAGCAAATTCGAAAGCAGTAAAAAAGGGGTTCTCTTGTCCAATCGCAAGGATTGCCCTCTCCCTAGCGTCCCCTTGCCAACAAAATCGGCTATTCTATTGTCCGCCATCTTTGTGATGCTCGTCGTCGTCGGGGTGTCGTCGAAATCATCTCCGATAAAACACAGAGCTACTTTCACACTTGGACGTTAATTTACTGAACTTTTTACTCGATTAACGCGTGGAGATATAAAACAAATGCTACAGAGACATTTTTCTCGTTTGACTGTGTGACAAAGGGAAGTTTCGTTTCATTTTTTTTCATTCGTCACAAGCGGGTTTCATTGCAAGGCTTCACTCCAGTTTCAACGATTTTCTGCGGCTGGTGAGTTTATTAATTATATAAAGTGCGCATCATCCAGAGTTGATTTGTTCAGAATAATTTCCGTTGTCAAATTGGAAAAGATGGTCTTGGGTGAGTTTTTTTAGAGATATCTCCGACACGGAGCGAGATAGTAGAATTTTCGTTATGAACTTTTGTGTAGAGCTAGTTAAGAGGTGGAAAAAAAGTTCTTACGAAAATTTTGCTGTCTCCATTAGTTTCGGAGATATTTATGAAAGACGACGAAGAGATGAGGACTGAGTCTATTTGTTTTGTATCATGTTTTTAATTCATCAATGACGGAGATGCCATGATTTATTAATGCTGAAATATAAATCGAAGAACAACAAGGTACGACAAAACCAAATAGAAAAAAAATGGTGTGTGTTGCAGGATTATAGGCTGAATCGTATTAATTAGGCGCCTCTGATCAAGACCAAGGATAATCAACGTATTGAAAGCGAATTGAAAAGGATAAAATAAAAATTTTGCAAAATATATATGTACACATATATAGATATATGCCAGGTATTTTGACGCGATGCGATGAACAATTTCCGTGTGATTTTGCCATGGGACAGGAGCTTTCTCAACTTCGTCTTTCTGCCAATCAACAAAGCCACGGATCTTCGATAAATTGAATATATCGTCGATTATCTCCTTGCATTAACGCACATTTTAGAACTTCACGCTCGAAGACTGGAAATCCTTTGTCGAGTTCCTGTTAAGGTAATTTTATTCATAAACCTAGTAATGTTCGTGAGGGTATTAATTTAAATTCGAGTAGTGACATTCACTCAGGGGAGTCACTTCATTATTTTTTAAAAACTCAGCGCTAATTGCGGGGGTGCGCCCTTTAATGCAACTTTTTTTGAATAATCTATCAAATCGATCTTTGTTTATTGGATGAGTTTTTTTCGTTGAAAGGTAAGTAGACCGTCCAAAAAAATGTACTTGAGAGGAGAATTACATTTTATTGGTGGCAACAGCTCTCGTTAATCCCGATATTTCTCTATCCCCCTAATCATTTGGAGAGATAATGATTCCAGGGCACTACACGCTCCCTGCACTATTTTTTCTATTAATACTGGAGCACTTCGAATCCAAAGACTATATCGGTCTTTATATATTATAAAAATAAATTGAGATACACCAAAAGTTACTTGTACTTGTTCGGTTACACTAGTCCACAAGTATACCCATTACCTTTTCTTAAAATAAATTCCATCGTGGAGGTAAGTTGAGGCAGCAGATGAAGCAAAAATCGGAATATCGAGGGAACGATAACGAGTATTAAGTAGCAAAGTTTATCTCGATGATCCACTCGTACAATCAAAATTATCACCGAAAATTAACGATCACTGCTGGAAAATTATTCCAGTAGTACTTGACTTTGTCCTTGGAGCAGTCAATCTCAGAAGCAGTTCCACGCTGATGAACGCATTCCATCGTATTCCACTTTATTAAAACGATAATCCAACGACGATAAGACCATACGTGACAGCTGATTCCTAATTATTGAGAGTTGTTTGAAATAATATGTGAATCATTGATATCGAATCGATGAGTCAGTGGTCAATTTTTGAGTAACTTTCAGTTAATTTTATGCTCTTATTCACACACTCTTATTTCCTGATTGTCGAATACTTTTAAAAACGTTGAAGCTTTAATTTTTTGATGAGCTTCCAACAATGCGATCAATTGTTAAGAACATGGAGCCTGGCTGTTTATCCAATGAATCAGTATTGAATTCAATCCAGTTTGAATATGTTTCGTCATCATGCCGAGGCAGAGTTAGATTTTCCACTGCCGGCTTTTCATTGCACGTTCTGCATCAATTTACTCGAGAGCCGCACTGATGTATTCTCGTCATATCTCAGCGTTGGGTCAACATCTCTATTATCGATTTTACTAGGAGGCTGTGGGATAATACCATGGAAAAATGAATTTGTGCACTCTTATGACATCGGAGCACAAGAAAATGATTGAGCTGAGGAGAATTTTTCGGTTTACCTTAACGAGATGATGGATGTCGACTTTGGAATCGTTGCTTTATATTACTGCGGCGGTGAATTATTTTCAATTAATTTTTTGGGAATTTTCATTTATGCGGGAGGTACAGTCAAGGCGTTTTCACGGTTCATGATTTATTACTTCTATTATATTTTTATTATCTTTGTTAGTATAGAAGGAATAGAAGGAACTCTATTTCTCTAATCGAACAATTTTGTTTCAATTGTAATGAGTGAGATAGTCTCGGTGATTGGTGGGGAATCTTAATATATTTTTCATTTTGTTCAAGGTAGTATTAGATTTTTTTTTTCAGACTATCAAATATTTTTTATTGCCTGTAGCAGCAATAGACCCTTCAGGATGCGTCTAATTTGAAAAAAACATTTGTCGTCACTATATTATGCACTTGAAAAAATTCTTGTTTAGAATCGATATTTTTCTCTCGTTAATTATGAAAATTGAATCGAGAATTGCTTGCTTGTGGAAATTATTTATGATGCTTCATGACTAGCATGTAATTTTCTTGACAAAATTACATATCGCCGGGAATAATGTAGTCTCTTAATTTTCTGAGTCACATCATGTTTTGCATTAAGACCTTTTTTGCAGGAACTGCACTCCCCATGCTCAAACGATATAAATATTCAAATGAACTAATTGTACAATCTGAATTGCACATTGCATAATTTAAATTTGTAACTGATTAATTTATTATGCGTTATTCGGCAGGCTTAATTTGAATAGATTTCATGGAAGTAAAATATAAAATCTATTTAACTGTGTACTATTAAATTATTTATTGAACTCTGGATTTATATAAATAAAAATTAAAACTGTAGAAAGCAGTTTGAATAATGTGGGCGTTTAAAAAATTCCGGTGCCAAGATCGTAATGCAAAATTCATGTAGCAAAAATTTAAAAAATGGTGGAAGTCCATTCTGTAGAATAAAGATTTTTTTTTTAGTTCGTTAAACCGAAAAGTAACACATATTTTTCTTTGGGTAATTCTCATCGCAATTAGTACGCATAAATTAATCCGTTGAAACTTTTATTCCGAATTTTCTTCGGAATAATTTAAATCAGCATTTCAATTATGGCAATTTCTTTCTGGAATAATGGTACTATTTTCAGTGAGACAAACTCATTAAAACAGAATTTAAAAAATAGCCTTTACTAGATTTTCTTACTGACAATTTCTCGACGCTCTTTAGTTTGCAGTGATTTACACATCAGGTGAAATCTTTCTCGCATTATTATTATTATTATTATTAATATTATTGTTGCTTTTTTTATTTCAAAACTCGGTCTGGGGGGAATCTCAAGCGATTTATGAATTGAATTCTACTGATTATCCATCGATTCTTCATCCACACAAATAAAATGAAAAACGAGAGTGCAAAATCGACACTTTCAATATTTTTTATTTAATATCAAACTCCATTAGATTATCAATTAATTGGAATAATAATTTTTTCGTCTCGATACTTATACTTCCACCTTTGTAATGAGCCCAAACTATATGCAACTGCTCAATTCTTTCCTGAATAATAAATATTAAACATCCAAACAAAATTTCAATAAAAAATTGTTCACTTCAATAATTCAATGAATCCACATAATTAAAGAATAATCGATAAAACAACGAGTGCAAAAGGTTCGCAAGACACTATCATTTCATCCAGCATTGATCGATATAGTTTCAAGGCGGCTGACATTTGACCTCAGTACAATCTCGTAATTCGTTTAGGAAATGAGACGTTCTAATGCTGTCTGCTTCTCCAGTCGATTGCTGCAATCAAGGACAATGTATACACATAATCATCGATTTCCAAAGAGTAACTCTTAACTTCCCTCTTATAATCTGAGAACGTTCATCCACCAGCTTTTCGTTAACACCCAAAGAGTATCTGAACTGAAATAGGAAATAAAATAAATAAATTCACTAGAAGAAAAGAATACAAGAAAAGACCCCGAAAGTATATTAACAACTGTTGTTACCTCCCTTCGGTTACAGATTATACTCAATTACTCCTACAGCATTCAATAATGAGTGTAATAATCAGACTACAAAACTTGGCATGGTCAGCAAATGCCCTTGACATCCGTCAATTCTTCCGTGGGCTGGGCATCCCCGAGGGTGGTGTCCACATTGTTGGCGGCGAATTGGGCGATGCTTTCATAGCCTTCAGGTAAAGAAATCATCTTGCTGCAGCTATTGGTCCCCTAGTTGTTTCAAATATCTGTCTCTCAAAAAAAAACAACGTATTATGACTCTTCGTTGGTATTGCCTCCCTGAACAATTCCCCCATTTATTTAAAACCGAAACAATCGCCAAAAAAAACAACATGAAATTATTGACCCACAGCACCGACGAAGATGCCCGTCAGGCAATGATGCACGATGGTGGAAAGATCAAAGAGATGAAGATAAAACTTTTGCTAAGTTCCCGTACGGAGATGCAGAAGGTGATTGAAACAGCTAGACAGCAAACCCTATCACTTCAATCATTCATGCAAACACCAGCGGTAGCAGTGCCCCAACAATCAGGAATAGCTCTAGCCAATTCCCAGCAGATCCAGTTGAAATCATCACCAGCGGTTGACTCTAAACGCGATAAAGAGCGTGATAATGAGAGTGATAACGCAAAAGAACGTAAAGACCGTAGGGATCGATCAAGATCACGGGACAGATCGAAATCCCGTGATCGTGACAGAGACAGGGATAGACGTGATCGTGGTAGAGACAGACGTAGACGTGACAGAAGTAGATCCAGAGATCGTGATCGTCGTGATCGTGGTAGACGACGTAGGGATCGTTCACGCTCACGTGATCGCACGCGTTCCCGTGATCGTGATAACAAGAGAAATTCTCACGGTGATAGGCGCAAAGAGGCGCAGGACGATGATAACAGCGAAGTTGTTATTGTTGGGTCATTTCCTAAAGATAAACAGAGTGGCAAAGGGTCGGGTAAAAAGGGTAATGGATCCGGGGGTAATAGTATCGATAATGGAATCTGGGAAGTACCACCGCAAAATCAATTGCCAATGATTCTGGCACCGGGAATTCTTGGCGCTGGAATTGCTGCACTACCGGACGCTGAGAGATCCATCAATTTTCCAACAATTGGACAAACATCTATTATGCAATCAAATCAATTTGGTATCAATGGTATTAATGGGGGTATTCAAACTCCGGGAATTAATTCACTCAGTCTTAACTCATTACCACCGTCACTGGGATTGTCCAGTATTAATTCATTGAATCGCGACAATCAGTGGTCAGGTGATCGGCCACCACGTTTGAGTGATCTGAGATTTCCCAGATCAGCTGGTTTTGACAATTTTCCTCACTTCGGGAGTTCTAATTTCAGGGGCAACTCCAGGGGCAATTCACATTTGCTGAGTAAAATGCAGGAATTGGATGGCAGGAGAAATCCTCATGCTTTTCAAACGAGTTCAACGAATTATGATGGCTTTACTGGCAATTCGGATAGGCCCAAGTCGAGAAATGTTGGTAATGGAGCTAGATTTGATAAATCTGGTGGTCACTGCATCGAGATTCGTAATATGCCCCTGAATGTTACTTATGCTGATGTTCGACATGCATTTCAGGGTATTTACATTCGTAAAGATGGGTTGAAGCTCATTAATGATACTCAAGGTAACCGAGTGGGAATAGCTTACATCAAATTTTTGAAACCCGAGGGTAAAGAATTGGCACTGAGTGTACCGAGATTTGTTCGTGGGTCAGAGGTAGAGGTTTGTTCACTCGATGAATCACTATTCGACAAAGCCGTTGATTCTTACGTACCAGAGCGCGATAAATCAGATGATAATACCGATACAATGACGAGTGATTCACGAAACTCCTGCATCTTACTCGCTGATCTTCCCTCATTCACCAAAGAAGTTGACATCGCCAAGGTATTCGATGAATGTAAAATAAATGATCTCTTCATAACATCGAAAAAAGACTCCAGCGGCACATCCCAGTACATGGCTTATGTACAATTAGCTAGAGCTGATGATGCTAAATCAGCATTAGCTAGCCCAATGAAAATAGGACAAAAATCAATAACAGCGATTTCAATAAGTGATGATAAATTTTCACAAGCTAAACGTAATCATGAACAGGAAACACTCGGTGAGGCTAGTACTCCAGATTGTATTATCATGCGGGGACTACCTTTTCAGGTGATAGAACGTGATATTCAGGATTTTTTCTCGGACATTGGAATTGTACCGCGTAGAATTCACATGATGTTGAACAATCATGGATCACCAGCTGGCGAGTGTTTCTGTGAGTTTGAGAGTGCCGAGGAGGCGGTAAGGGCGACTGGAAAGAGTGGACTCCCAATGGGAAAGAATTTTCCAACGATAGAGCTCGTTGCGAGGAATAAAATGCTGGATACACTGGGCAATGCTGATACACAATTCTCTGAGTCACAGCAACCGTTTCCCCTGCCACTGCAGGATCGCCCGAGATTCTCACCGATGGGTCATCCCCCTAGATTTGGTAATGGTGGCTTTGGCCATCCTAGAGGACCTCCTGGAATTATGCCACTACCTAGGCACATTGCTATGAATCGTCCTGGACCTCCACCCTCACTTGATTATGTCGAGGGCTTCGGCAATCCTGGATGCGTTCTGTCACTTGAGAATGTACCATTCAAGGCTGATATCACTGAGATCATTGAGTTCTTTAGAGATTTTGATGTCAAGAGGGAGAATGTCATTAGGAGGTATAATGAAAAGGGAATGCCCACCGGTGATGCCAGAGTTGCTTTCTCATCACCTAGTGAGGCACAACGAGCTCTCAGGGAACTCAGGCACTGCAAAGTCAGGGACAGAACGATCTACTTGAAACTAGCGTGAATCCATTCGATAGGGGATATGTAAGGGAATTAAATTATTTTTCATACCTTTGTGGATATGAAAGCATCTCGATGAACGAAAGGTTTTAGAGACACCACGGGAATTGATAACTGAGATAAATCCAATCGAATCGTATTTTTATATCGATTTATCTCGAAAACTGACGATTTAGGAACGAAACACCCGAAGACTTTCTTCTAGCTGATTGAATTTCCAGTAGAAATGGTCTTTAGATGTTTTCTCGTAAAATCAACACTTTTTTGAATTCATCGATATTTAATCGCATTGGAAATATTGGATTATCTCAGTTTACGAATTTCCTCGCGAAATTTTCTATGTGGGATATTTATCTCTCGTCTATGAGAAAAAATCCCTTCATGTTGTCTTTGTAATCATTTGTTATCGAAATATTTCCGTAACTGGTAAAAATGGTGGATTTTTGTTATTACGGTTCAATTTGTATAATATAAAACGATTCGTCAGTCGTTTTATGTTGCTCTTACATTTGAGATGTAATCAAGTATTTGTATATAGGGTATAAATTTCCAAATGCAGGGACAAGTGGTGAAGAGATATTTCATTTTAATTCGTTTTATGACAGTGGTCTCAGCGGAGAGAGTGACATCGACGTTACTTCACTGTTTAGAATTTATTTGCACAGCTGACATCATTATTAGTCATAGAAGTACAGGAATAAAAGAATAAAGGAGAAATGAAAGACAATGAGAGGGAGATAGTGGATGCCCAGAGATATCAATTAATTAACTATATTTTGCCTTGATAATTTTTGCGAGACATTTCTTTCTGGATCATTCTCTACTAAATATGTATCATATTTAGGCATATGTAATTGTGAATTATTGAACGAGCACTGGGAGTAGGATAAATTTATTCATCGATTGTAAAAATATGATAATTTAATGATTGACCTATTTTGTTATTTTCTACACCTGTTTAACATAATAACAGAAGTTACCCGTTTAATGGAGCGAGAATATAATGGAAAACTCATCCCTTTGGATTGTAATCGATCGTTAGATTAAGAAAGTAAATATGATAAATGAGTGAATGAGTGTATCTGGAGTAATACAAGAAGGCCTTGGTTACTTGAATAAAAATTTATATTTGAGACATCAATCGTTCACTTTACTATCCCAAATTTTTCCCAAATTAATCATTTAAACTGTTTTATGGACAATATGATATATATGATAAATATGAGAAATTAAATTATCCAGTGACATTTTTCCTTTATATTTTTAATATTCTGTTGTCAATTTCTCAAGTAACTAGCAAAATAATGACAAAATCGTGTTGCTTATCTCGTTTTCCCTATCACTCCGTTCCATAAATAATCTCAACGATTATATTCTCGAGCGATAGAGGATCCCATTGATTACACGAGAAGTAAAGAATTTTATTTGACTCAGCCATTGCCATGAATTTTTTACAATCTCCCAGTGTTATTTCATTTCTCTTCCTCCCCTTAAAGCTTAATCTCAACGATGGCGCAAGACAGTGTCTATTGATAATGAAATATCCGCATATCGTATTTACCCACATCTCAGGGTTTTATCGACTATCCGCAGAGGCTTTAAAAAAATTGATACATCAATTGACAAAGATTAGCAATGAAAATAAATGATGGGAGATTAAGAAAAAAGGTGGAATCAGTGCTCCAGATGAGAGGAGGTCAGATGCATTGACTCATCGGTTATTTTTGGAGAGGAACTTTTGCGAAGCTGAGAAATCCCTTTGGGTGGTCGAAACTGTACACAATATGTGGTTTAACGATGAATCCGGGATGGAGGTGGATGTGTATCCTGGTGGGGAACATATTGCGTCGCCGCCCCCGCTGTCCTCCTCTGATCAACTTGTGCTCAATGCCTGGAACCAGCTGGAACGACCTCAGAGAAAATAAAAAAAAATACTCGGTTACGAAATTCAGGGTCTTTGTTAATGCAGCCACATGTGTACGTGTTTTTAACACACTCAAATCGGAATGCCTTTTGTATTCGTTTGGAATTAACAGATCGTCTATGTTATACTGGCGCCAGTATTTTTCAACTGTTCATTTCTCTTCTCACTATGAAACTTACGGTTGCAGTCATTTTTATCGTTTTTATCAATTGACCCAACTTAGTAAAACGTTTATAATTCCCTGGGAATTGGTTTAAACGTTTGTTGGAGTCATTTCACTCTCGAAAAGACTGGTGAGAGTTGTTGATGAAACCAGAATAAAGAAATTTGGAGAGTACTTTTTTCATCGAAATGCGAAAGGATTGATTATCTGATCAATCCTCTAACTGATAATAATATTCATTCATTTAGTAAAAAAATTTATGACAAATTGTATTTCATTTTCTATATCTTGAAGATAGAGCTAGAGAAAGCACCAGATAAATTTAGTATCGACGAGGAGATCGATAGGAAATCGATTTAGTTAAAAAAGCTCTCTATAAAAATTTTCCGATTTTCTCTGGATCCAGAGATATCCCTTTCAATCTCGTCTAAACAATCGATCGATTCATTCCTCTTGACTTGCTCATCTACGAAATCTAAATAATTAAAAATTAATTTTCGTAGAAAGTTCTAGTTTTTTATATATTTACGAAGATATTTGCATATAATTTCGGCCTCATTAGCATCCCAACCGATTTTAAAGATCGACCTAGAGCAATTACTAGATAAATTCAAATGTATAGAGATGTTCAACTAGTCGCCAGAGGCAAAAAGATACTCGGGTAAACCGAGTATAAAGAGAATAAGGATAAAGAGACAAGAACGCGTCTCCAAGACTTGCATTCCCCATCAGGATCTCCTGAGGCGATTTAACCTGGGCTTTCTACCGCGAATGAGTAAGAGCTGAAACTAGGAAATTGCAACAGCCACTGGATTAATGTCATTATGCGTGGTAAATTGGATATTTGAAGTTTTTTCAAGTGCTTTTGTTGCCGATCAGAATTCAAACAGTCCAGCACACACACGTATTTCATGGAGATTTACTTTTGTCTCATTTCCACTTCAACCGGGGACCATAGGTTGATCTTTGATCCTCTCATTCCCTCATTCCCTCAGCACCACTCCCGCTTTCAATGCTGTCCTCTTCTTTTATTTCATTCCATCTCACTTGCTGGACTCATACCATTCCTCTAGAAACACATTGGTTCAGTCGCTGAAGAAACCACTGGCCAGTTACTCGTGCACCCGCGCTCCTCAAACTTGATATTTATTTGGGATCATAAAAAATCACTTCAACGCATTCCATCGACTATTTCGAGTTCTAGGAGTTGATGGATTGAGTAGAGAACAGGAGTTTAATATGAGAATCTTCAGGGAATTACTCATTTGGATTTGGATTTTTGTTCCTGTCTTGTCATCACCTCAGGGGAGAGCTGATAATGTTTCCAAGGATTGCCCAAGGAAATGCTGGTGTTATCAGACTGCTGTACGGTGCATGTTCCAGGGTATCACCCGAGTGCCGAGAGTTTCTGGGAACTCTACGATTTTGTAAGTAAAAGGGACAGCTAATGAAAATATGAAGAAATCAACAGAAAAGTTCAATTTTACAGTTTTGTTAAAACTAATCTCAGAAACTATTGATTTTATCAAGATTTACCAAAAGATCTTTTTTGTTAAAAATTCAATTACCTACAAAAAAGTCTCTCAACATTTTCACCTCAGACCCACCGTGTTCGAATTATTCATAATTAACAAATTGCTGGTGAATTCCTCCTCATAATTGTGATGAAATAATTTGAAAAGTCACTGAAAAATCGGACGGGAAACGATTGCTTTTATGAAATCTATGTCGGCAATCTAATGGTCGTGATATATTTAACTGCCATTAATTATAATTATCCGTAATTATCCACACGTAATCAATCATCGGATTGCTCATATTTAAATCAATATGTATTCAGCATCGTAATCATTTCAATTGAGCGTTTCGATATCAACACGCTCTATTCACTTTTCTCCCGACGTGTCATCGTTAATTTTCACTATGATTAATTGAGTAAAGTAGGAATAATAAAACCCGTGTGGAAGGACCACTCACGATGACCCGACCCCTAACATTTATCTTTTGACACGGTTCTGCAGCAACTCGATCGCCCACTATAATTTCACGTATGTTGCATGCGCCGAATGCCTCAAATAATTTTCCAACACATAATTATTTTTCCGACAAAAGAAGGATGCAATTGAATTACAATAATGAACCTCTCATTGAATGTTAAATGCCTCAAAGTCCAGGATTTTAATTATTTATTTATTTATTAACTCAAAGTAGAACAAAACATCACGAGAACTCGAATAAAAATATGTTTCATTTATTTTATTTTATTTAAAATAAATTTAAAAAATTATTCGACTTCCTTTATTATTTGAAGAATTAATCCACTGGAATTTGAAATGTTAAATAAAATCCAGTGAAATGGCTCAAGTCATTCGCGCCCTCGCACTTTAGTTTACAGTACCCCAGACTATTTTAGTAAATTATTTATGCCTCGTTCCTCGGTGTGGAGGCTTTTAGTTTTCTCAGCAGTAAATCACGTCATAGGGTCAGAATAATTAAATAGAAAAATAAACGATGAATGAGTTATTGCCTCATTAAAATCCATTTAATTTCCTTTCAGAGACCTAAGGTTCAACGATATCGCAGATCTACCACCGGGTACATTCCATGGATTGAAAAGTCTCGATACAATTTTGCTGAATGATAATAAAGTCCGGCACTTGACGGCAAATGCATTTGTGGGCCTTACGAACTTGACTATTCTATATCTGTACAAAAATCGAATAACTTCCGTGTCAGCTGGGGCATTTGCACACTTGGTAAATCTCCGACAGCTTTATCTCCACGAGAATCGTCTGACGGAAATCGAAGCGGGTACATTCAGCAATCTACCGAAATTGGAGAGACTATTTTTACAGAATAATAGACTCCACAGAATACCAGCGGATGCGTTTGAAAATGTTGGGCCAATGACACGTCTCAGGTTGGATAGCAATGCGCTGGTATGTGATTGCGATCTTCTTTGGCTTGTGGAGAGACTTCGTGAAGGACCATCGGAAACAGCGGCTGTCTGTCGAGCTCCAGTGGAGATGGAAGGACGATCACTCACCTCCATGTCCACTGACGATTTTCATTGCCGTACGTTCAATCTTTAAATAAAATTCTAAATAAACACCCCGTGCAAAAAAAAAGGATTTTCTCTGAATATTTCAATCAGCATATTAGGAATTAATAATTAATTAATATATATTAAAAAAATACGCAATGAATGTCGCAGGTTTTTTTTCCAATTGTTGCTTTTCTCAATTTCAAACTGTTTAACAACTCGACTTGACACCTCTCCATTTTATGTCTCAGATGTACCAAAGATAATGGAAGGCCCCGAAGACGTTCAATTGGCAGCTGGTGAGACAGCTTCTTTCACCTGCAAAGTAATAGGAGATCCAAAACCGAAAATAAAGTGGATGAGAAATTCAGACGAAGTCAATCCAGACGGTTCTCGCTGCATCATAAAAGACGATGGCACTCTCGTTATTTCGGATATTTCTGAGAACGATGTTGGAGAGTACGAGTGCATTGCAGAGAGTAAAATGGGTTCAACATCATCGAGAAAAGCCAGAGCGATTATAACAGCGACACCCTCCATTCGTTTTATAGAAATTCCCAATTCGCAGTCCGTAACAGCTGGTGATGACGTATTTTTCACATGCATAGCAGATGGTCATCCTAGTCCACGGATTGAATGGTGGAGAAATGGCCAGCGGCTTCGAGGAGACGACAGGATATTCCTGGAGGATGAGGGTACCACTCTACGGATTATTTCGACAACCACTGGAGATTCAGCGAGATATGTGTGTCAAGGGAAAAATATTCACGGTTTGGCGGAGGTCAGTGCAGACTTGAATGTTGTTTCCAGCAATTTCAACCCTCCAAGACTGACGTATCAGCCCCCAGAGGACATGGAAACAGAAATAGGAGCCACGGTTGAACTTCCCTGTCGCTCCGAAGGTGAACCTAAACCCATAATCCACTGGAAGAAGGATGGAAGCGCCTTGGAAGTCATTCCCAGGTACAAAATCTCACGTGGAGGAAGTTTGTACATCCAAAACATCACGTTAACTGACTCTGGAAGGTACGAGTGCACAGCTGTGAATGATTATGGACGAGCAACTGCTCAGAGTCTTCTAAAAGTCAAACAGGTACTTGTTACTTCTAATAGCATTGTCCATCGAGCTTTTCAAGACGCAACAGACAGCATTGACAGAGCAGTCAATCAGACATTGGGAAAATTATTTGGAATCGATGGCGCACCCCCCACTGGTCACTTTGATCCATTCAGAATAGCCAGATTTCCCAATAAAATCGCAAGGGCTAATGCCAGACCTGCTGAGATTTTCGAGAGAACTCTAGTCAATATCCGAAAATTTGTTAATCAAGGGATGAATGCTAATATCTCAGGGCCTTTTAATTATCACGATATTTTGACACCCGAACAAGTTAGGGAGATTGAGAGACTCTCGGATTGCACTGGACACCGGATAAAACCAAAATGCAACAATTTGTGTTTTCACAGTAAATACAGAACTGTCGATGGCACTTGTAATAATTTGAAACAGACAACCTGGGGGTCTTCCTACACAGGATTCAGGAGAATACTCCAACCGATTTATGAGAATGGATTTTCTCAGCCAATTGGATGGGACAAGACAAGACTCTACTTCGGATTTCCAAAACCCGCTGCAAGACTGATATCCACAAAAATTATTTCAACAAATAAAATCACTTCAGATGATAAGTTGACGCACATGTTGATGCAATGGGGTCAATTCCTGGATCACGATCTGGATCACGCCCTTCCCGCGGTTTCGAGTGAGTCCTGGGATGGAATTGATTGTAAAAAATCCTGCGATAATGCAGCACCGTGTTTTCCGATGGAAGTACCTCCTGGAGATCCCAGGATCACCAACCGACGTTGCATTGATTTCGTGAGGTCCAGTGCAGTCTGTGGATCTGGAATGACTAGTATTCTTTGGGGGGAGGGAATGACACCCAGGGAACAGATGAATCAATTGACGAGCTTTATAGATGCATCCCAAGTGTATGGGTATGACGATAGTTTAGCTAGAGATCTTCGAGAGTTGCAGAATGATCGAGGATTGCTGAGGGAGGGTGCTGCATTGCCTGGAAGGAAACCAATGCTGCCTTATATGTCTGGACAATTTGTGGATTGTCGAAGAAATCCTCAGGAAAGTTCGATAAATTGTTTTGTTACTGGGGATTTCAGAGCTAATGAGCAGGTGGGATTACTGGCAATGCACACGATTTGGTTGAGGGAGCATAATCGAATTGCTAGGGCTTTAGAGGAGTTCAATCCTCACTGGTCTGGGGAGAAATTGTATCAGGAAGCTAGGAAGATTGTTGGAGCTGAGATGCAGCATATCACTTATCAGCACTGGATTCCCACTGTTTTTGGAAAGAGTCTTGAGGAATTGATTGGGGAATACCCTGGGTATGATCCAGATCTCGATCCCAGGATTTCAAACGTTTTCGCAACAGCTGCATTACGATTTGGGCATTCTCTCATTCAACCGCGTTTGGAGAGATTGAACGAAACGTTTGATAGTATTCCTCAGGGTCCTCTCAGTCTTCGCGATGCATTCTTCTCACCTTGGAGGCTCGTAGATGAGGGTGGAGTCGATCCTCTACTTCGTGGAATGTTTGCTACACCTGCCAAACTCAAATTACCAGAGCAGAATCTCAATTCTGAACTCACTGAGCAGCTCTTCAGGACTGCTCATGCTGTGGCTTTGGATTTAGCTGCCATGAACATTCAGAGAGCTAGGGAGCATGGAATACCTGGATATCTGGAATGGAGAAAGTATTGTAATATGTCAAGTGTTGATGATTTCGAAGATCTCGCTGAGGAAATCAGTAATCCACGAGTGAGAAGAAAACTGAAGGAGATTTATGGACATCCTGGGAACATGGATGTTTGGGTCGGTGGAATTTTAGAGGATCAACTGCCTAATGCCAAAGTTGGGCCTCTCTTCAAGTGCCTTCTATTGGAGCAATTCCGCAGGTCTCGTGATGCCGACAGATTCTGGTATGAGAATCCCTCGTCCTTCAAACCAGAACAGCTACAGGAGATTAAACATATCAGTTTGGCCAGAATTCTCTGCGATAATGGAGATAATATCAGCAGAGTTCAACAAGATGTCTTCCAACTCCCTGAAGGAGAGAATAGCTTTGTTAATTGCGATAAAATTCCGTCAATTGATCTTCGAATCTGGTCCGATTGCTGTGAGAACTGTGAAGGACCTTCTGACAACGGAATTTCAAGATCCAGGAGAGAGGCTGACAAGTATATGGAACACATAAATGTTAGGAACATTAGGAATCTTGAACGACAGGTCAAGGATCTCCAGAGAGAATCGAACTCACTCAAAGAACAAGCCAAAGAGATGGCCCTGGGTTTCAAAATATTGCAAGCGCAATTGAGCTCGCAAATCATTTCTAATTTCTAATATTCTCAAAACAGCTGCATGTTTTATATCTTGATATCCACATACAATTTTGTACATATAATCTTGAATCATTGCTATGTAATTTACACCTGTATCTTCAATGTACATATTAACTTTGGAATAATTCATGGCTATCAACTGTAGAACAATTGTGCGCGCTTGAATTGGTTTTTTATATGCAATTTTTGCTTTCAATGTTTTAGTATTTACTGATATTATCTTGTATTCAACCCCAATTCTTTGAAATTCACTTGGAAAAGAATCGAAATGATGAATTAGAGTCAATCCATGAATAGGAATGATGCGGAAATTATTTTTCTATCGATTTCTTCCTTGTACGTGGATGAGTCGGAGTTATTTATAGAATATCTTCCTCAGGCCACAGCTCCACTGGTTCACTCCACTCGATGATTGTGGATCATAAATTCAAACCGTTAAGGTACAAAGAATTGTTTCTGATTTATGTAAAACACGATTATCACTCCACCATAGAATGAGTTTTATTTACTGAAAATCCGTACCCCATGCCTTCGACATCCTCTTCAATTTTAACGTCGAGATTGAAGTATTAAAGTATAAATTGTATAAAATACGATATAATCATTACAACTCCACAGGCAAGCCTTTCGAGTCCAGAAGATGCTCTCTGGGATCCTTTAAATAAGTTGGACCATTACCCACGTGAGTGTGGATTATGGATTTAATTTGACCAGGTGAATTTTGCTCTTTATTAATTTTTAAAATCAATTCCTCTGAGAGAGGAGCACTTGCTGGTGGATTTCCCCTTTTGTACTCCACATTATCGACGGGCTTCGATGGAAAATAATAATCTAGCAATCCTAATACTTCTGGCACGTCCTTCTCTAATAGATAAAGGACAGTATTTGGACCCGCATCATTTGTATATCCAACCTGTAACAATTATTTTTCAAAAATTTAAAGAGAACTTCAGAATGTATTGACTCTTTTTCATAAAATCTTTAAAAGAGTCAGCAAAAAATGGAGTGCATTTACGATTGTAATTAATCTTTAGTAGTTGAATTTAAGAATGATATTTTCATACTTTCACACGGTTAGATGCCTCGTTGTATGCATGAATGAGGTCAATGACACCGAAAGAGACGTCGTTGAGATAAAAACAAGGAGGCGATGTGTCTAGACACACCGCATGCATCTGATTGGAGTCCTTCATCATCAACTGTGCGAATTTTTCAAAGTTTTTAGTCATTATCGCCTGATTCATCTCTTCTACTCTTTTTGGAACGCAATGTTCAGCTCTGTACTTAAGAAGTTCTGATGTTAAGACACCGTTTTTCATGCCGATGGCACTCGAAGTTTTTTTTCTCTCCTCATTCACCTGTTGCATGAAGATAAAATGAAAGTTAAGAAAATGGAGAAAATGGAGGGAGTCGTCGAGAAATCCAGGAAAATGTCCCGAGTAAATCGAAAAGGAAAATTACACGTACTACTAGAATTAATATTCTCATTTCCGGCCAGTGAGATGCAGGGACTATTTGCTTGGCAATACTATCATTTCCGTTGGGGTCAGTGCCTGCATACCATCGGACAAATCCACCGTAAACACTTCTGCATGCGGAGCCAGATCCACAACGAGCGATTGAACTTATGTCTCCTTCTACTCTGTACAATTTTGCAAGTGCAGCACTTAAACACGCATAACCAGCTGCACTCGATGCCAGGCCTGCTGCTGTTGGAAAATTATTCTTAGAACATATGTGGAGCTTCCAATTCTCCATCTCAGGCGATAGTTGAGCGCGTTTTTTAACTGGAAAATTATCAATTGATTGTAAAGATTAAATTTTATTCTGTCTGTAGAATTTTGGGATTTTGTCGTACTTTCTCGTAGACAATTCTGCAATCGAGGATTGTTTATTGATTCTTCCCTTCCATTCAGCCAAATTCGATCTGCATCGAAGTCTGCACTTGCCATTATGGTGGTCTTAGCGCATAACTGAAATTATTTTATGATTTTTACATTGATTTAATAAAAATTATGCGCAACAGGTAAATCGAATTGATAATATTTGTGATTTTTGGTGGAATTAATACGTTGGGTTCATTATTATGGGAATTGATTAGAAATATTCGCCACGTAATTAGTACTGACCTGATCAGTATCCAATGACGCACTGATCGAATCATTGACGGGAAGAATGAGCTGTTCATCTCGTTTTCCCCCTGAAAATTTGAAATAATCCTGTTTTAAATATGAATAAGGAACAGGTCAAAAGTTCTCAACTGAAGTCTTGAAAAATACCCTAATGTAAATCAACTGGAAGATGGTAGAATAAGATACTCGACTCAACTCACTCCAAAATTAACTCAGCTCTCTTACAAATATTTTTAGAGTGAAAATATTTGCAAAAATTTCTCAATCGAACTTTCTTAACAATAAAAAAAGGATAATACTAACAATAATTTGATAATTTAATCACGTTTAAAAATATTCTCACGACAAAAGGCGTACAATGAATAGCGAAATTCACTTTTTGAATTTCAATGAAAATTGCGTCAAATGCGCGCGCAGCATATGCTCTGGTATTTAAATTTTAGAAACAATAATTATGACTTAAATTATAAAAAAACGATAAGGATGATTAGAAGAAGAATGAGAGAAACAAATATTCATCGCTCCGAATGGGTCCCGGGGTATGTTCCCAGAATAAAAATTGAATATTTAATAAAAATTAACGAAAGTTTACATACAGTACTTGATGACAGCGATATTGACAGGTGCAATGCACGTTACAATACTCATCGTAAAAATTCTCAATTGAACACACAATAAATTCAACGAAGCCACCGACGAGTAACTCGTGTACAACAATTTCTACCTACGTATTAAAATACATAACGGTTCCGAAAAAAATTCCTACCTTACGTGGCTAAGGATTCCATTGAATCACGAATCAGCTGATCGCAGAACTGCAGCTCCCTGAAATTCCCTGCGTACGGTTTGACAACTCCGAAGATTTTACTCGATCGATAAAAAATATCTGCAACTCTCCAGAAATTTCTGGACAGCTCTAAAGAAAGGACCGGAAGATTCTCGAATCTCAGCCGAACAATTGAAGATAATATATTGTTATTACACTATTTTATATAAAATCATCCCGTCAATTGTTGAATAAAATTCATCAATGATGATTTATACCCATTTCATAGCTTCAATTCTCGTTTTGCTTGCTGGAAAAAATATTGAGTTTGTTTATTTATCAACGAAACTATTTTTCATCCGAAATTAATTTGGATTGTTTTAGAATTCACTAATTATTCAGGAATCATTATTGTATCAATTGTTTTTAAACTTGTTTTGATGAAAAAAATGGATTTATTACACTCAAATTTTCGGTTAGGATTTTATAAACGAAATACTTTAGTTTTTGTTGTTTAAAAATGAGGGAATAAGTTTGTTTATTAATCAAGGAGATCGAGGGGTTGGAGATTTCTAGATGGTTCTAGATTTTGTTGGAATATTCAGAGAGATTCAATCATGTTTCGGGGATTACAAGTCCAGAGATAATTCTAGAATTTTCCAGAATAATGCGTTTACTATAAAACCCGAGGATTTTATTGAACTAATTTACTGTCTGGAACGTGTTATAATGTTCTAATGAAATAAATAAAAAATATATAGAAGATTATTGGAGATTCCTTCGAATATAAAACGTTTGAATAATAAATTTGTCAATCAATCGCGTTGTTCCCACAATTTTCTAGAAACTTCCGGAGTTTTCTCATTAAAAAAATTCGAAATTCTCCTTTACAAATAAATCATTTTGGAGAATTTCTGTTCAAAATTTAATCTCTATGAATTTTTCGCTGAAATATTTGCATAAATCACTGAAGGATTGCAAATACATAGATTGTAACAAAAAAATCGAAATTTCAATTTTTAAATTCCACTCCTTGAATGATTCATTGTTTAATCGAATTTCTCCCAAAAATATTGAAAAATCGAGTATTTGCAAACCCTTTTTTATTCATTACTCTAGAACAATCTCCGGTCCCGAAATTTAATCGATCACTACCCAACGTCTGACGTGTTCTAGAATGTACTTGGAGCTCAGCCACAAAATCCAAAAGAAGAAATCCCAAAAAACCCGATAACTTCATGAAATCACCACTAAAAAAAATCGAAAAAAAAACTGTCCCTCCATTTTTCCCTTGAGAGACTGCCTAATGACATAAAAAACTGAAAAAAACCCAAAAAAACATTAAAAACCAAAAGTAGATTATTCTCGAATGTCAGAGAACTATCCGGCGGAGTCATGCGCAGTAGGGCGACTCGATGGAGATAGTATATAAGGAGCTGCTCCACAACGTCTCGCCACCAGTAAATGAATAAAAGTGAAACGAGTTACACGACTGAGAGGAGTAAAACAAACAACAAAATGCCAGCAATTGGTATTGATTTGGGAACCACATACTCATGTGTGGGTGTGTGGCAACAAGGAAAAGTGGAAATAATCGCCAATGACCAGGGCAACAGAACAACACCATCCTACGTTGCCTTTACTGACACCGAGAGGTTGATTGGAGATGCAGCCAAGAACCAAGTGGCGATGAATCCATCGAACACGGTTTTCGACGCCAAAAGGTTAATTGGCCGTAAATTCGACGACCCGAAGATCCAGGCGGACATGAAGCACTGGCCATTCAAAGTCATCGGTGAGAGTGGAAAGCCAAAGATTGAGGTAGAGTTCCGCGGTGAGAGGAAGAGGTTCAACCCCGAGGAGATCAGCTCCATGGTCTTGACCAAGATGAAGGAGACAGCTGAGGCATATCTCGGGGAGAAGGTACGTGACGCTGTCATCACAGTTCCAGCATATTTCAACGATTCACAACGTCAAGCAACTAAAGATGCTGGTGTTATCGCTGGAATTAATGTACTCAGAATTATCAACGAACCAACAGCTGCGGCACTCGCCTATGGATTGGATAAGAACTTGAAAGGTGAGAGGAATGTTCTCATATTTGATCTCGGTGGTGGTACCTTCGATGTCTCCATCCTAACCATCGACGAGGGTTCCCTCTTCGAGGTGAGATCAACGGCCGGTGACACACACCTGGGTGGCGAAGATTTTGATTCACGTCTTGTAGATCATCTTTGTAACGAATTCGAGAGGAAATTCAGGAAGAATCTCAAGATCAACTCGAGAGCACTGAGGAGATTGAGAACAGCTGCTGAGAGAGCTAAACGTACATTGTCATCGAGTACAGAGGCAACCATCGAGATTGATGCACTCTTCGAGGGCATTGACTTCTACACCAAAGTCTCGAGGGCCAGGTTTGAGGAGCTGTGCGCTGATCTCTTCAGATCGACACTTCAGCCAGTGGAGAAGGCACTTGCTGACGCTAAAATGGATAAATCATCGGTCCATGATGTTGTTCTCGTTGGAGGCTCCACGAGGATTCCAAAGATCCAGTCGATGCTGCAGAATTTCTTCTGTGGTAAACAGCTGAATCTCTCAATTAACCCTGATGAGGCAGTGGCGTATGGGGCAGCAGTTCAGGCAGCTATTTTAACTGGCGAGGGAGACAAAAGCTCAACACTTCAGGATGTACTTCTTGTGGATGTTGCTCCCTTGTCACTGGGAATTGAGACAGCTGGTGGTATGATGACGAATATCATCGAGAGGAATGCACGTATCCCCTGCAAGCAGTCACAGACATTCACAACGTACGCTGATAACCAACCTGGCGTTACTATTCAAGTTTTCGAGGGTGAAAGGGCTATGACGAAAGATAACAACTTGCTTGGAAGGTTTGAGCTCAGTGGTATTGCCCCAGCGCCCAGAGGCATTCCCAAGATCGATGTCACCTTTGATCTGGATGCCAATGGTATACTCCATGTCACCGCCAAGGACACAGCAAGCGGTCGCAGTAATGATGTCCGTATTACCAACGACAAGGGCAGACTCTCCAGGGAGGAAATCGATCGCATGCTCTCTGAGGCTGAGAGATATCGGGATCAAGATCAGCAGCAGCGAGAGAACGTTGCGGCTCGTAATCAACTTGAAGCATATGTTTTCTCGGTTAAACAGGCTGTGGAGGACAGTGGGGCACGTCTTAGTCAGCAGGATAAGGACAGGGTCAAGGGACTCTGTGATGACACCATCCTGTGGCTGGATAATAATACCTTGGCTGAGAAGGCCGAGTACAGCCACAAACTGGAGGAGATCCAGAAGCAGTGCTCACCCATCATGAGCAAGATCCATCAGGGTGGACAACAGATGCCTCAGGATTGTGGAGCCCAGTATCGCCAGGGTGGTGGACAGGACTACTCCGGACCTACTGTTGAAGAAGTCGATTAAACTAATGGAATTTCTAGAGATTTCGTGAACGGACTTGGAACTTTTTGAGACTGAACAATACCTGAACAAATTATTTATTTTTATCTAATATTGCTGTATTAACTGGTGAATTTTCATCATTGATTGAGGCAGGTCATTTATTTTTTTGTAATCTTTTTTTTTAGTTGGGTAAAATTGTTCATTCCTCGACGCATTGTAAATTGGATTCTATTTTTTATTGTGGGGTACAATTTTTGTGGGACGATGGGTGAAAACTTCATCTGACTAGAGTAGAAATTATTGTAAAAAGATGAATTGCCTGGCGGATTTATATTATGTGATAGATGGAAATAAACTCGTTATGTTTTATAAAAAATGTCTTCTTATTTTACCAAGGATTCCCTTTATTCCTAATATTTGAAAGATAAAAGAATACAATTACACGATAATTAAAAATTGGGAAATCACAAAAAACAAAATTCGAAAGTTGCATTTTTATGAATAATTAAACAATCTGTTTGAAATTATGATAATCAATCAGATGATTAAATTCATAGTATATCGATAAAGTAAAATAATAAAAGGCGATAATGACTATTTCAAAAAGCAATTGCAGCAGTGATTCGATCGATTCGATACTCTCGAAATGACAAATTCGAGAGATACGCAGCTCACATTCGTGAGTGTAAAAGAAGGTGCGTCATTTGTGTGTGTATGTGTCTTCATCGCCGTAGTTGTCAAAAAGACTTTCGTTTAAAAAACCTCAGTCCGTATAAACAATTAACTATTATCCAAAATGTTAGGACATCCTCCCGCATGTGTAATTGATGTAGGAACAGGGTAAGTTGATTCTCTTCAATTTAAATTGATTAATATATAGAAAATGAGGTTTTGGGTTGGGAAAGTGAGGCTAGGAAGTGACTAACACCCCTGCCGCGATAAATATATGCCGATTCGTCAGTAATCAGTCACCAATCGTTTCATAAACTCATTAATTATCTAATGCTACGTGAGAATGACGGAAAATTTTCCAGGTACACAAAATTAGGATTCGCTGGAAATCGTGATCCACAGTTGACCATTCCATCGGCGATAGCCATCAAGGAAACAGCAAAAGTCGGCGATAACTCGGCCAGACGTGTGACAAAGGGCGTGGAAGATCTTGATTTTTATATCGGATATGAGGCATTCAGTTCACCTGGTTATTCTATTAAAGTACGTGGAGCTACAGTTATTTGTTCTCCAAATAAAATCATCATCTCTCCAGTTTATTCCACCAAAATACTATCAAAAATATCCAGTAATTTTCAGATTTTATCTTTTCTCAGTCAGGAATTTCTATAAGTCTGTCAGTAGATAATCGAGTAATACATCCTGCGCGAAGATAACAAGCCATAATTTTTCCAGTATCCCGTTAGACATGGACTCGTTGAAGACTGGGATTTAATGGAGAGATTCCTCCAGCAATGCATTTTCAAGTATCTAAAAGCAGAGCCTGAGGATCATCATTTCCTCCTGACAGAGCCTCCCCTGAACACACCAGAGAATCGTGAATATCTCGCTGAAATAATGTTCGAATCTTTCAACGTTCCTGGACTGTACATCGCGGTTCAAGCTGTCCTGGCACTGGCTGCTTCCTGGACAGCTAAATCTGTAGACAACAGGGTGCTAACTGGTGTTGTCGTGGACAGTGGTGATGGCGTTACTCATGTCATTCCAGTGGCTGATGGTTTCGTCATAGGAAGTTGTATCAAGCACATTCCAATAGCCGGAAGAGACATCACTTACTTCATACAGAGTCTCTTGAGAGAACGAGAAGTTGGCATTCCTCCGGAACAGTCTCTCGAGACTGCCAAAGCAATTAAGGAGAAACATTGCTACATATGTCCTGATATTGCCAAAGAATTTTCCAAGTACGATAGTGATCCAACCAAGATAAAACAGTATACGGGGATTAATAATATCACACAGCAATCTTTCAATGTTGATGTGGGATATGAACGATTTCTAGGTCCTGAAATTTTCTTCCATCCTGAGGTATAAATTTTTAAATCCATCGACTTTGTCTCTGTTTGTTGTCAAATGCTTGAGTACTCAATGTTTACAGTTTGCAAACCCCGATTTCACGACTCCTTTGGGAGAAATTGTGGATGATGTAATTCAAAGTTGTCCCATCGATGTGAGAAGACCATTGTACAAAAATATTGTATTGTCCGGTGGTTCAACGATGTTCAAAGACTTTGGTAGGAGATTGCAGAGAGATGTAAAGAAAACGGTTGATACGCGATTAAAATTGAGTGAAAAACTCAGTGGTGGTCATATTACGGTAATTAAATAATAATTTTTAATAGCTTACGTAACAATTGAGTCAATTATCTCTCATCAGTTCCAAAAGATTGTTCGAGATAATTTTCTCTTTTATTGATTGATAGTTGAAAAAAATAGTCTGAGGTAATTAATAGTATACCTTTATTTTCAGCCAACAGCAATCGATGTACGTGTAATCTCTCATCACAAGCAACGCTGTGCAGTTTGGTTTGGTGGTGCTCTGTTAGCCAGTGAGCCTGAATTTTATCAAGTGTGCCATACGAAAAAGGATTATCAAGAGTACGGGCCGGGTATCTGCCGTTTCAATCCAGCATTTCGCAGTCTCCTATAAACACTCAAGTATTCGAATCAGAAAAAAAAAACACTCGTACGAACAAGTGAACATTTTAGCTAATCAATTTTTATGAATCCATCACTTTTTTTACGCATATTTTCTATGAGTTTTTTGTGCAATCCACTCCTCACCAAAAATAGATATGTTAACAGGTATGGTATAGCATTTAATTAATGCGAGACAATTGAAAAAACCTTAACGCACATCACACTGAGAACTTCTCGTAATCATTGATTCAATTATCAGGAAGAAGTTAACATTAATGAATTGTGATTGTGGACGATTTTAAATTACACAATGATTGCGTATGGTTGTAAATAGGAATCATGGGTTCTTTTTCTTTATTGTAATTTTGTGTTCCAATGTTATGTCGCTGAATTCGTTCGATTTACTGGTGTTGAGTCCTATCTAAGGAGAATAACATGTAATGTCAATAAAGTTTTTAATAATTTACCGAATTTATTCCCAAAAGATTGAAATAATTACAGAAAATTACGTGTATCATTCTCCTGTTAGCCTACTAAATCAACAGAATGGTGAAATTAGTATAAAGTGCCAAAAGCTTCTAAAAATCATATGTTCATTATTTACACAATATGCTTGATACAGTTACTTTTCCCTGATGATAATACATTTCAAAAAATCGAAATAAAAGACTTCAAAACTATTGATAAATAATTCAATGGTGATAAAATTTTCTAGTAATAATTAACGGACTATTCTGTATATTTTTTTTCACGTTCAGCCATGATTAAAGAAGCAGATCTTCCCCGATATTTTTTCCTGAACTGGTATTTGCGAACAAAATTACCAAATTTGTCACTTATTATGTCTCCACAGTAAATTTTTCGCATTAATGAAGATAAACTTTAAATATCTCAATCAAACTCCTCTGGATGACCCCTCTCCTCTTCTTGATTGACGTGAGGCTCTGGATTACGCACATGTCTCTCAAGATCCCTGAAAAGTGACGAGACAAATAGAGCGAATAAATTGGTATTTAAACCGTCATCCTGACTCTGCTGCCTCCGAGTTCCAGCCCGGGGGTAGATATCTATAGAGTTCATAGGTGGATAAGGATCATGAGAAAACACATGAGTCTGCGACTGACTGGCATTCTGCACGACAGACACTTCCTTGAGATCCGACAGAACGATGTGCCTCAAAATATTTCTCGGTGGTTGTCCCTGGTACCTCACACTTCTCTTTGTCTCACAGAATTTTGCGTAATCATCCCCAGCATCGATTCTATCCATAACAGCAGTAACATTGCTCTCCAACCAGGGTAAAATATCTGCCTCTTTCCACAAGCGAAAAGTACGCACGACGTAAAGAGTCTGGAGTTTCTCCAGGGCAGGACTCGTCGAGCTATTAGCTCTACATCCGAAGTAATCATGACCCAGGACTCTCGTATCAGTGGACACTCCACATTTATCAAGTAGTTCTAGGAGAACCCCTGGAAACATGAAAAGGGCATCCTGCAGGAGTTTATCAGCTTTTTCCCTGCAGCTCTCTTTATCATCGATGCGAAAATGAGCTAGTGCCAGGCTGTAGGCGATATTAGGCAATTGAGTGAGATTTCTCTCTACATTCCAAAGATTACAAAAGTCTATGAACCACTCATATTCCTTTGCTCTCAATGCATAAAAATCGATCGACAAGACAACTGCCATTGGATCACCAACGGGATCTAATGAGAGAAGGGCTTTAGAAAGTTCTAGACTAGTTCTGTAGCAAGCTCTGCCACCAATAAACGTCAGATGTTTGAATAAAGCGAGAAAGAAGGGACGATTTGTCTGGTTGTTGTAGTTCAATCTGCAGTTGCCAGTTGTCAAATTAAATAGCGGATGGAATGCACATTCCAAACAATGCACTGCTCTCTCCACCAATTCCGCAGCCATCTGGAGATCCTCGTTGAATTTAGAGATGTCAGAGAACTGTAAAAGAGAGTCCACGTGACAGGGATTTGCATTGATAATGTTGATTATGGCTTCTGGATTGGGATTCTCCACTGCTAAGAGAAATTTATCCTGCACATTTCTGTATGCAGAGCTGTGAGTGAAGACAAAGTATTGAAGACCATCACTGGAGTCTTCCGTTCGGTCGATGGTCATTGAAAGGCCAGCTTTGCTCACTGGAAACCAATCAGGAATTGTCGTCAGCCATGTTTTACGAAGATGATTAGTTCTACCTCGTCCCCTCGCTTTATTCTGATCTCCTGGTAGAATTTTACTTCCGCAGATGCGTTTTAACTCGTTGTGGGGATTCAGATACTTGTGCTCAATGCTCATTATGCTGTTCTTCGTTTTTACCGCTGGCTTCTGATCAATTTTACTGGAACCAGCGACAGGCTCACCCAGGAGTTTATTAACTTCACGTACACTACGATCTATCTCGTCGATCTCATCCTGAGATTCTTCTCTCGACACGTCCTCCAATTTTGATCTGTCTTTCTTCTTTTTTTTCTTCTTTCTCTTTGGCTTCATTGGACAGGGGTTCGACGAGTCCGGGCTGAGCTCTGGGTCGATGTTCTCATCATCCTCTTCTCTGGTGTCACTATCGAAATCACCGTTCAACTAGAATAAAATAACGAGTTAATTTACCCTTCGTACACAATTCAATTCTTTTTATATAGATTGTTATTGTTCATATAAAGTGCTCTGCATTATTTTCGCGGTAGAACAAAACCAAAAATTATTTTCAAGCAATCCATTCTTTCATAAATACATTTATACTATGATTAAGTTTAAATGCGTCTGATAATAAAATTGAATTGTTGTGATATTTACCAGATTGAACATATTGAACTGCTTCGGTTTTTTATCGCTGACGATGGGTTCATTATCACTCGTTTCTTCATGATCCTGTTTGGAAATCACAGATCCACCGTAAACTTTCCTCAAATAACGAGTTGACATTGCAATTATTAATATTCAATTGGTCAAACTATTATGAGATCATACTCCCGATGATGGATAAATCAAAGGTTAGAATTGAAAGATAAAGAACGATTTCCTCTGATTCCTCAAATATCTCTGAAAGAGACTAGAATAACTAGAATCATTAATCCAATCTGGGGTCCCTAAACTCATTCCGCCATCTTGCACGAATTTTATACGGTTCGATTTCGACCTGAAGTAATTTCCAAAGAGGATTGACTAAAGTAGAGGCTCAGTTCTGGGGGTTCGAGTGACCCCAGCTACATCGTAGTACTGCACCCCAAGAGAGGGAGGGCGCCACACGCAATGGGGGTGTCTGCCCGTCAGCCCACTCGGTAACTTTTTTGCCCCCATGTGACCCTTAA